AATGATCACAATTATGGCATCGAGGCTATTAACGCTATACTAAACTTGCCTTTTTGTTAACATAAAGCCATTCTGTGGTTACATTTCAGTCTTAAAAGATATAAAATATAGTTAGGTTAATTCAAAATAGCCTACTTCTTACCTTGGAACAGCTGTTCTTAGTTCCTTTCTGGGAGGAAGTTTGGGTGCAGGAGGGGGCTCCAGGCTGTGGCAGAGTGTTGGGATGCAGGACAGGGTAAGGGGTGTGGGCTCTGCGAGGGAGTTTGGGTGCAGGAGGGGGATTCGGACCTGGGACAGGGGGTTGGGGTGCAGGAGGGAGTGCGAGGTGCAGGCTCTGGCTGGTGGCGTAGCAGGGCTCAGGCAGGCTGCATGTCGTGGCCCCATGGTGCTCCCAGAAGTGGCTGGCTGCTGGCATATCTCTGCACGCCCCTGGGGGGAAGGGGGACATTGTGTCTCCGTGTGCTGCCCGTGCCCGCAAGTGCCATCCTCGCAGCTCCCATTGGCCGGGAATGGTACTGGGAGCAGGGCAGCTCATGGAGCTGCCTCCCCCACTTCCGCCTGGGGCTGCAGAGATGTGCCAGCAGCTTGCCGCTTCTGGGAGCAGCGTGGGGCCACGACATGCAGGCAGCCTGCCTGAGCCCTGCTGGGCTGGGGCCCCCCTTAGCCTGGGTCCCTGGACTGCAGCCCCTAAAGCCCCTGCATTAATCCAGACCTGCTAGTGAACCGCTGATGCAATAAGCAGTATTTCCTTTAAGGCACTTCTGACTTGAATAGCCCTGAGCATAGTTAACATCTGACATCATTATTCCAACTTGTTTGAGGATTTAGGACTGAATGAGACTTGGAAATTTCAGTTAATGCAGGAGAAATATTTTGTTTGTTGTAGGAGGAAAATCAGACCCTGGTTTAAGAACTAATTTATCTGGGAGAAACTGCAATTAAGCCTCTTTGATATAGGGGACTACTCAGATCTTCACTCTTCTGTGTGACATGGTGGCCAGTAAGAAAGACAATTGAGGATTGAAAAATATTCTATTCTGTATTGGCTTGTATATCACCCTCATCACCACTCTATCTGTAGTGCATTAAGGGACATGACTAATATCTGTCACATGTGGTCGGTTCTTTCTCTCCTTTCCCTAGGGATAGAATTGTGTGTGCAGTGGAATGTTTTGTTTGCTAAGGGGGATTTTTTTAATGCACAATTAAAAAAAAAAAAAATGGTGATGCTTCCATCCTAGGTTCAAAGCATGCCTTTGTTACATCTTGAGATACCCTGTTTAGGTTCCATCTTTCCCCTCTGGAAATCAATGAGGGGATTTCCCCATACAATTTCCTTTGTAGAAGCAACAGATATGAGAATTCTAAAGTAGACTAGAAATGGGCTCTTGCACCCAATTCAGAGACCTGGATTTGAAGGGAACTCCACCTCCGGCTTCACATAAGCTTTCTAGAAGGAATTCCAGATATCCTGTGTAGACAGTGGTAACAGATTACTATGGGGGAGCACCAGGAAAACAGCATTTTAAAAATACTCTTGAACAGTTAGAATGATTTGGGTTTTCAAAAGAAACCAACCTGCTTCTTGGAGTACCCATGTCCCAGCAAAGTTATCCCATGGAGGAGTCAAGTGTCTCTAATCTGGAAATAGCCCAAAGTACATTTAGAGCCATCAGTCCCAGACACCATCATTAGCCAGCAGACAAAATTACAAAATGCTGCATCCTATCAATTATAAAAAAAAACAAAAACAAAAAAAAAACCCAACAACAACACAGAGCAGAGGAACCTGTTCATCTACTACCTGGTCTTGGATTATAGGTCACAGTCTGTTTAGAATTGGGTGATTCAGAGGAATTTGGTTAATGGGCTTTAATCCTACCACACAGTTTCTGCTGATCTCTGCAGTAGTCTTGGGCCTGGTATACACTAAAATGTACCATGTTTTCATGTGGTTGTGAACAATGGTGTTAATGAACATAATGTTGAACATGATTAAGCAGTCACTGTAGACCAGGATAAATCCATGTTCCCCATCATATCAGCTAATCATGATCAAACTTTCACCTGAGCAGGGTACTGTGGAAGTATACTGGGGCAAATCTTTAGTAACTCCAGCTGATGAACTTATGCTCTGAAGCAGAGGAGTGATATTTTTAGCATAGCCAGTGTAACTAGAGAAGCTCCTCTCATTCATGTGTGTTAATCCCTTCTGGAATTTTATTAAACTAAAATCTTCATCAATTATACCCCTGGGTAATGAATTAGACAGGTTAATTATGTAATGCTTAGAAAGGTATTTCCTTTGCGAGGAAGAAAATTGGGATGAGAAAAAAGACCAGGAGTGGGAGGAAGTGGTAAGGGAACATAAGAATGGCAATACTGGGTCAGACCAATGGTCCATCTAGCTAAGCATCTTCTCTTCCGACAGTGGCCAATGCCACGTTCTTCAGAGGGAATTAACAGAACCTGGTAATCATTCAAGTGTTTCATCCCCTGTCATCCACTCCCAGCTGTTGTCAGACGCTACCGGTGTGGTGCTCTGCTCTGCTCAATGTTGATATCAGTCGTCTGTGTGCGTGTTCCCTCTGTGTGCTGCCCCGGCTGCGCAGATACTGACACAGCAGACCCCGAGAGAACCCCCAATGACCACAGACTCTAATAAGGTACAAAGGCACCTGGGCCAGTTTTATTGTCGAAGAGAAACACAGTCTCTAGCTCGCTGGATTAGGTATCGACGGGTCTGCTAGTATATATGTGCTCCCTGGCAATGGACCGGCTCAGTCAGTGGCAGGACTTTCCACTGCTCCCTAGGCCAGACAAAGATGTGCACTCCGGGACCTATTCTTATACACAGGTGCAGAACAGATTACTCATCACTACTGACTCATTAAGTTACAGCCCCTCTATTAGCGGGTTGCCTTTCTCCTGGCACAGGTTAGTTTGGACAAACTATCCATCCATCATACTGTCTATCCATCGTATTGTTCTTTCATATTGTCTATCCATCATATTGTCTCTACTGTATTGTCTTTAGGCTAGGTCTACCTGTTCTTTGTTATCTGTGTGGGATGTGTTTGCACTCAGCTGTTCTGGTGCCGTCTTGGCCCATGTTCATTTTATTAGTGATTAATACGTACTTCTAGTAGCCCTCTTCTTGCCAACTTCTGTGAGCAGGGACCTCCCTCTGGCTCACAGCCCAGCTTTGCTTAACAATGTCTTGACTATTACTCTAGTTCAGGCCTCATACTGGGCCTCCTATACAAGATTTTATGTTTCAGGGCCTCATCTTACTACACCAGCTTCTGACAATCAGGCTAGAAACACCAAGAGTATGGGGATGCATCCCTGACCTTCTTGGCTAGTTCTTTATTGAACCCTATTATATTTTTGGCCTTCACAACATCCCCTGGTAACAAGTTCCACAGGCTGACTGTGTGTTTTGTGAAGAAATACTTCCCTTTGTTTTAAACCTGCTTCCTATTAATTTCATTGGGTGACCCTTAGTTCTTGTGTTGTGTGAAGGAGTAAATAACATTTACTCACTTTCTCCACACCATTCACGATTTTATAGACCTCTATCATATCCCCCCTTAGTCGTCTCTTTTCCAAGCTGAACAGTCCCAGTTTTTTTAATCTCTCCTCATATGGAAGCTGTTCCATACCCGTAATCATTTCTGTTGCCCTTCTCTGTATCTTTTCCAATTAATTTATCTTTTTTTGAGATGGGGTGACTAGAACTGCTTGCAGTATTCAAGGTGTGCATGTACCCTGGATTTATATAATGGCATTATCATATTTACTGTCTAATTATCTATCCCTTTCCTGATGGGTCCTAACATTGTTAGCTTTTTGACTGCTGCTGCACAATGAGCAGATTTTTTCAGAGAATTATCCACAATGACTCCAAGATCTCTTTCTTGAGTGGTAACAACTAATTTAGATCTCACCATTTTATATGTACAGTTGGGGTTATGTTTTCCAATGTGCATTACTCTGAATTACTCTGCATTTATTAACATTGAATTTCATCTGCCATTTTGTTGCCCAGTCACCCAGCTTTGTGAGAACCCTTTGTAACTTTCTGCAGTCAACTGTGGACTTAACTAGCTCGAGAAATTTTGTATTGTCTGTAAACTCTGCTACCTCACTGTTTATCCCTTTCCCCAGCTCATTTATGAATATGTTGAACTGAACAGCACTATTCCTAGCAGGGATCCTTGGGGGAACCCCACTATTTACTACTTGTCATTATGAAAACTGACCATTTATTCCTAGGCTTTGTTTCCTGTCTTTACAGTTACTGGTCCCTGGGAGAACCTTCCCTCTTAGCTCATCACTGCGCCGGGGAGGTGAAGAGGAGCAGAGAGTGAAAGGTGAGAGACAGGACTAGATCAAGCGAAGCCTTTCCCCTAACTGAAGTCCCAGTGAAAACCAGGGGTCGGGGCTCTCTACAAGGGGAAGCAGAGTGATGACTGGCTGGGTGGGAGGACAACCAGTGCCTGGCCAAAGTTGACTTTGCCTTGCAGACTGTCAGAAAAGGGAGAGGGGGCTAGAGAAGGCGGGAGGAGATGCCCGGAGGAGGGAGGGAGGGAAGATGCAGGCAGTGAGCGGTGGAGGTGCCGGGGACCATGGCTGTCTCCTCTGCCCTCCTAACGAATGCCCCCGGCTCGCTGCCTGGGTCCGAGCCAAGCCGCTCGGGGCCGCACATCAGCACGAGCTGGCAGGCCGCTTCTCTGCGCGCAGGCGGGGTTTTCCCGGACCTTGCGGCGCCCGAGCGGCCCCGCGGCTGCAGCTGCCCTCCCGCGGGGACAAGTCGGAGCAAGGGCGATCGCCGCCTGGGGCGCTCGCGGCGGGCGAGGAGCGGAGCGTGACTCGGGGCTGCGGTGGGATCCAGCGCGATAGCCTCGCCCCCGCTACCCACCCGGCAGCTCCCAGTGCGGCCGCAGACGGGTCCCGGGTCCCCGGAGGTTGCAGCCCCCCAGGCGGGAGGAGCGGCTTCTGCAGTGCTGGGGCGAGCGGGGACAGAGGGGGAAAGAGTAAAGCAGCCTCTGCGCTGGGGTTGAGTCTGGTCCCGGCCTTGCTGGGTCCCACAAAACGGGCTCACTGGGGCAGCTCCCCTCGGGCTATGTTTGACAGCTTCCAGCCCTGGCTTATTGGTTGACGAGCACGTGCTTTGTTCTCCGAGGTATTGATTTATTAGACCTCTGATCACCTCCCGGAGAAGCCCGGTGTTGAAGACAGGTGAGTCACAGACCCGAATAGGTAAGGTAGAAATAATAATCTCTCTCGGACGCGCCCTGGGACATCTCTTTAGTTACCTGACGTTTTTCCTGCGGTGCCCATCGTGGTCAGATCCAACTGGCTCAGGACTTTGCGTGTTTGTATCTGATGAATGTAACGGTATTAAGTATATTAGCAGTTATCCTCCATACAACTTTATTGTAGTTGCTCTAGTTGAATAGTAACAATTTACACTATCCCGTTTAGGACCTGCTCCTGTGTCTGTGAAATCAATGTCAAAATGTCCATTGACTTCGGTGCTTCAGGGTCCATAGAACTGTTAACATTTATTTTTAAACTTTAGCTTAATAATAGTTTCCTGTACCATATTTAGTTTGCGGAACGTTGGCACATTTCATTTTTATCGTAATAGTTATTAATTGATATGAGCACTTGTGGGGCCCTGAAGACACAGCTGTACAACAGCTTGAAAATTGCAAAGTTAGTTCATACCAAGTTTACAGCATAGACATTACTGTGTCTCTTCCTGCAAATATTTGATTGATGCTAGTTGTTTCTGAATTTCTACCTGACAATGCTTTTAGAGTGGCATGGATGAAAGTGACTTCTTTCCAAAGCACTGATGCTGTGTAGGGGCAAGATAACATTGTTACGTTGACAGGGAAAAACCATTTTAAAAAGCCATGAATATTGTCAAGATCTTAAATTTAATTACTAGCCAGAAATATGAAAGTGAGGGTGGTGGCAAAAAATGAACACAAATGAGAATGGGATTTTCCCTGGCATTTCACACAGTAACAGAGTCAAAAGAAGAAGACTGGGAAAAGTGCCCAGCATAATGCATGTTAAAGAAAACCTTGATTATTTCAAATATCTGAGAAGTTACTCAAGAATTCTTTCCACTCCATGCAATTTGCTCAGCAGTGCATCCAAGTGAAGTTTCAGTTTAGGCTACTGACCAAAGAAGTGCTGGTGACTGTGGAGCATGGTGTGTGTAGCTGAGTCAGCTAGAGATTACCACCTAGTGGCTAGCCATTTCCTCACTTTTTGTCCAGAATTTTCTATCTGTAAATAACTGCCCATATTTGCCACATTACTCAGTGTTTCCTTTTGAATTTCCTGAGCCATTTAAGAGGCAAAGTGTGGTCTTTCTGCATTTTATAAACTGGGTACATTTGGGGCTCATGAAATGGAGGGTCTGATTGTAATCCAGCTATTTAATTTTATTCCCCACCCCCCATCACTGTAGTGACTGAGCAACCTAATATCATTTAGATAAGCCCGTAGTCAGAGCAGAGGGTAAGGAAAGCTGGAAGCCCCAGTGCTGGCCTGCTCCTTTTCCAGAAGTACAGTACTAGACAACTGGGCTGAGAACAGGGGGAAAGTTAAAGGGGCAAGCGGCTCCTGTGATACCCCCCAGCTTGTTGGCCCTATGTCAGGGGTAGGCAACCTATGGCACGCATACCAAAGGCGGCCCGCGAGCTGATTTTCAGTGGCACTCACACTGCTCGGGTCCTGGCCACCGGTTCGGGGGGGGACTCCGCATTTTAATTGAATTTTAAATGAAACTTCTTAAACATTTTAAAAGCCTTATTTACTTTACATACAACAATTGTTTGGTTATATATTATAGACTTCTAGAAAGAGAGCTTCTAAAAATGTTAAAATGTATTATTGGCACACGAAACCTTAAATCGGAGTGAATAAATGAATACTCGGCACACCACTTCTGACAGGTTGCCAACCCCTGCCCTATGTATTCTTTGCTGTTATGACTTCCATTGCTGTAGCAGAAACATAGCTGAGTCTAGAGAAGTGTGAATGGTGTAGTCATAGTTTGGGACTCTCCGCCCATGATTTCCACTCTGTGGCCAAAGTTCTAGGGAGAGGCAGCAATAATAGGAAAAAAAGGTGGAATGGGTGAGAGAGTGGTGGGGGGCCTCATGGACAAGGAGAGTCTCCTAATGTGGGACCAGGGTGTGGTGGGGGAGGGGTTGAAGAAATGTACCCTCCCTCAGTATATAAAATAAATGCACAAACACCGATAATTCTATCCCTTTAAATAACCATAAGACTAGAACGGTTTAGGCAGCTGCTTTCTTAATCCTCTGGTAACCTTTTCTCTGCTCTTGTGGTACTCACAGGGGCTATGGGAAAACATGTGGAGGTAGCCTCTTTCCAAGCACACTATCTTAATTTCTTTTTGGTCTATGGCTGGTATTTTGTTACGTAGCCACTGCCAAACCTCGGGGGAGAAGGAAAGAAGAATGGGGGGCACAGCCATCTGCACTGGGGGGACTGAGGAAGGCAGAACAAAGGACGCCGTTGACGGCGAAGAATGTACCAGTGTTCTTTCTACAGACAGGGCCTGCTGCAGTAGGCTGGGCTAGCAGTACATTAGCTGCCTCACAAAGCCATGTCACTCCTGACCCACAAACACTCTCATTTTGCAATGCTGGTCATTTCCTGTAAAAAAAGCTGAAAAATGAGAGGCTAAGTGGGGCAGACAATGAACAAGGAAGAGCGGCTGTCAGCGATGCTAATCAGAACATCCACCAGGGAAGAGGCTCTGGTAGCATAAAGTCACCATAGCCTTCTCTCTGCTGAGGGTCTGTAGGAACCAGTGCTGAACCCTCCTCTCAGGGATTCATTGTCAATATTTACAAATATTTGTTTGTCATCACTGTCCATATACAATATGGTAATTAAGGCTCTGCACAGACACCTAGGAAAAGGCAGTCCCTGTGCCCAAGACTTCACAAGCTGAAAAGTCAAAAGCTAGCTGAAGGTTGAGGGAAAGGATTACAACACATACAATGCCTTTTCTTCTTTTCAAAGAAACACTCTGCAGAAATAGTGACATATCTTGAAAATAATTTTAGTATTCAATAAGCTATTTCTACAAGAAATTGATTGTCCCCAGCTCTCATTGACTTCAGTGGGAGCTGGAGTGCACAGAAAGTGTAAGCACCCTACAGCTCAAACTTTGTACACAAAATTAAATCTGCAGATTTGGGGGGAGGAGGGGAGGAATAACTAGAGGGTGTTTTCTTAAAAAGCAGTTTGTTGGAACCTAGCTATTTATTGAACATAAAAAAGGACTAGGTTAGTAAATATTACATTATTATTAGGTTTATGAATATTTGACTAAAGTATTCACTGATCTGTGAAAGACTGGTGCAGGTAGTAATTAATGTAATGTTTTTCATTCCAAAGTTAAACACAGCAGGAAAAGAAAAAGGAACTGAAAGCCAAACAGAAAATCATTCTAGCACATTTATGTATAATCTGATTTTCTTGACGTAATATTTTAAACACTTGATATATTTTTCATGTTCCAAGGGCTTTACAAACAATAACTAGTCATAACACCTTATTGAAGATAGGTCAGTAGAGACTATTTTTCAAGTTTGGCTTTTTTAACACTAATAATTCATGTTATGCTTATTCTATCCCTCTTTTAAATTTTAGGTAAAATCATGTCTAACCAACTCTGGAAAGGGTGGGTCATCTACATGGTCATAACGGCAAATCTTTCTGAAGAAAAAGCCACGATGCAGGTGTGTCCTTCATGTGATGCCACTCATTTCTGTGACTGTTCTTCAATGAATTTGAGCACCATTCCTTCAGGGCTAACAACTGATGTCACGGGGCTAAATCTGTCCTACAACAGCATAAAATATGTCAGAGAAACTGATCTGCTGGTGGGTGTGAATCTGAGAGTGCTGCTGCTGCAATTCAACCAAATTTGGACAATAGATAAGGAATCATTTATTTTCCTTGGAAAATTGGAACATTTGGATTTATCAAATAATAAGTTGACTCACTTGTCACCCATTTGGTTTAGACATCTTTTTTCCCTACAGCACCTAAACATACAGGGTAATTTATATACAACACTGGGGGAGAATCCCTTGTTTCTTAATCTCAAAAATTTGAGATATCTGCACCTGGGGAATAACAATTCCTTCTCTGCTATACGGAAGCAAGACTTTGATGGAATTACAGTTCTTGAGCAACTTGAGATTGATGGTCAAAGGCTCAGGCAATATGAGTCAGGGAGTTTGATAACAGTTAACATAAATCATATCATCATAAACATAAATGACGTTCAGGTGTTATCGGTGATGGTAGAAGATTTTATACATTCTGTAATATGTTTAGAACTGAGACATATAGCCTTCAATACAGCTAATGAATCTTCATTATTGGAGCCAATGAGTCATTCTGTCATGGAGAAATTTGTGTTAAAAAATGTTTTGTTTACAGATGCAAGCATTGACAAAATGTTAAACATCTTGGTGCATGCTGAGCAATTGTTGGAGCTGGAGCTGGACAATTCTATACTGCAGGGAACGGGACACTGGCATGAACCAATTAAAATAAAGAGAAAAAGCCCCATGGAAGTCGTGACAATACAGAGATTAACTATAGAAAAATTTTATTTGTTTTCAGATCTTAGCAGTTTGAAAAATCTTGTAGGTAACATCACTAAAATCACAGTTGTAAATACTAAGGTCTTCTTGGTGCCTTGCAACATTTCAAAACATTTTTCCTCACTCCTTTATCTTGATCTCAGTGAAAATTTGCTTGCAGATCCAAATTTGGAACATTCATCCTGTGATGGTGCATGGCCCTTGCTGCAAACTTTCAATTTAAGTCAAAATACATTGAGTGATTTACAAATGACGGCACGAAGTCTATCTCATCTAAAACACCTTACTCACCTAGATATTAGCCG